ATTGTGAGGGTTTGAGGCGAGCGCTTGCGCTAACTTTGTCTTCAGATACTGTCCCGAACACGATCATCTCTGAGTCAAAACCGAATGCCTTCCCATCGACGTTAAGAGCCAAGAGATCGGCAGTTCAGACCCTGACAGCTGAAGATAAGCGAACTGAAGCACTGGCACAACATACATGTGCCAGATGTGGGAGAAAGGAGATGTACTTCACAACTGTGCAATTGCGCAGTGCAGACGAAGGAAGTACAGTGTTCTACACCTGTGTTTGCGGTTACAAGTACGCAACCTCCACCGTTGATCCTTCCAATTGCATCCGCGGGCTCAATACTGATATTTATCTGACTGCAGGGAAACCACGAACAACTAGGAGACCGAAGGAGTATCTATTCAAGATTATGATTGTACGTCTATGGGAGCAACGAATCAAACGCAATACCGATATTGTGAAGCTATACCTTCGACAACGGGTCATTCAAGCAGCAGCAACGCCAGCATCAGGCACCAAAGCATACTCAACTTCACCATTCTTTTCATACTCCGCCATATCGAGAGCCACAATGACACTGTCTCTTACCACCTGCTCCGGGTCATTCAAGAATTTCCTTAGCGTCTCCTCAACACCCTCACAGTCGCCCAAGCTTCCCAAAGCCTCGGCCGCTTCGTGTCGCACCATACCGGCTTCGCTTTGGTTGCTAAGCGCTTCAGTAAGGCTTGGAATTGACGCAGGGTGGCAAAGTTGACCAAAGACAAACGCGATCTCATGGCGGAAAAGTGCAGATGGATCTTTAAGGCCCTTGGCCAGCGCCTCAACAGCGCGCGTCGCTGTGGGAAGATCGGGAGGAGAAGCGAGGTCGCGCAAGGCGAACATCGCACGGTATCTCTGAAACAATGGTAGACTTGTGTCGAGTAGAGTCTTCTCTATTTCGGGAATGGAAGGTTCACTGGCCGCCATTGGAAGTGGTGGAGCGGGGTCGATCGAGGTAAAGTCACTACGAATTGGTGCACATGATACAATAAGCATTTGCAAAGAGAAAGGGAAACAGGGTGGATTGATACGGACGCCTCATACCTTGCCTTTAATTTCTCAGCTTTCCTTGCCTCTGAATTTTCCCACAGAATCCTGTCCACTGCAATGTCGCAGGTCTCTCTAATAACATCGGGCTCATTCTGATTGTCTCTAAGAGCCTTCAAGATCTCCAAGCTGTCTTCGTAACCCAAGGCGCCCAGAGCCTCTGCGGCTTCATGACGGCACATCGTATCTTGCTCCGTGTCCTTCGCGACTTCTTGTAGGAACGGCACAGACTCTGGATTGCGGGTCTGGCCCAAGCAGTATGCAAGTTCATGTTTCAGCAAGGCGGATGGTGAAGTAAAGGCAGCAGCAATAGCCTGAATTGCGGGCAGTGTCTTCTCGGTAGGCGGCTGCAGGCACGCAAGGTGCTTCAAGGAGAACAAGGCACGGAATCGGCGAGCGAGCGGCTCCGACTCGGAAGTGAGGACTTTGCGAAGAGTGAGGATGGTGGGATCCACGCCCTCTAGAGTATCGGTTGCAGAAGGGGCCATGGTGGTATTGTGAAGGTGGTCAGAGAAGATGACTGGTTGAAATTGAAACGGATCGGATTGAGGAGGCTACAGCATAAACATTTGCTCAAGAGAGCATGAGCATCTAAATTTTCAGATCTTATCTCAACGAGATAATAAATTTTAGGTGGGGTGGCGGGGGTGGCCGCAGCGACTAGCCCAACTCGCTATTCTTCACAGCGCCGTCCATCTTCAAATCCGAAGTGTGTTACAGTCGCCTGACTGCAGCTCAAACACTTCGCTATCGATTATTTGTTCAGAACTCTAGGAGACACGATGCATTCGATTTCAGGATAGGACTGGTTGAGCGTACGTTTGTTCAACTCAGCTTGAAGCCTTGGACCATCGGTCTTATAGGTATACATCCTACCGATATTGGCTTATGGCTGTTCGTGTTGTACTTTAAGTAATTGGCCACACTCTCTTCTAGATTTTCCATTAGAATACATAGCCGTCTGGACCTTCATAGTTATAATGATATCAAGGATACTATGATCATACAATACACATAGTTCTCCACGCGGAATTGGCAGGCACAGGATAGCTCATCCGGACCATCATACAGGCCAGACTTAAGTAAAGCTGCTTGAGGGTGGCTCAATACCTCCTCAGTCAAAGGACTGTTGCTGAAGGGATTAAGATTGCCAATTCCTCACATGTGTCCTCCGTAGAAGACCCTCAGACTCGAAATTGCACTAAGTTGAAGCTCATAATTGAAAAGAAAAGCGAGCACGGTTCGCTAGGTTGTCGGCAGAGCATCATATCCGTAAATGCAGTGTCTTCCCGCAGTACGCCATGTTTCGTGAAAGACAAATGAAAACGCACTAAAATCCATTTAACCTATGGAATCAACCCTTCAAAGCCCAGAAGCTTGCAGTTATATACACAGTACACCCAAATAACACAATCATTTAGTTCTGATGTGCTTGAGCTTCTTTGGTTCGTGGACGAAGTTGTTTGCATAAGCCTTAGGGACGAAGCGGCGCTCGTTGGGTTCCTGGACGAAGTACTCGTATCCCTGCTTCTGCGCGAACAAGATCGCATCTTCCTTGGACTTGAAGTTCAGGTGAGTACCCTGCATGAAATCACCCGAAGACTGCCAACCCATCAAAGGGTTCTCCCAACGGTGACCTTTCTGCAGAATGTCCCAGTCCATTCTCCAGTGATGGCTGTGCCAGGTACCGGACTGCGTTGCGGGCTTCGAAGGCTTGTAAATCCTAGTAAAATGGTCAGAAAGCGGCGGGTGACGGAGGTAAATCTGAATCTGTACCTAACAGTTCGAGCTTGAAGGTCTGTAGGAGCCCCGGAGAGAACAGCAGCAGCCACAGTGTCGCCAGGCTCGCTACCGTCCATGACACGCTTGGGCACAGGGGAGTATTGTCTGGATTGCCATCAGTGGAGTTCTCGGGTATTAGCCAGGCTTCCCTTACGAGGTAGCATGGTCAATTGTGGCTTCGTAATCGGGCTGATGACGAGCCATTGCTTGAGATGGCGTCTCCTTGCGAACCAAAGAGCTCTCTGAAAGGGGTGTGGAAGGTGCGTCCGCTGGGCTAGTCTTGACACCGGCGCCACCAGAACGGTTTTGCGTGGAGATGAAACGCGCATTGACGGGCACAGCAATTCTGCTCGCCCGAAGGCAGGCAGAGCTACCTGCTCGAAAGAGGGACATGGTCACGGATTTGTCTGACTTGAATTCAGCTGAGCGGGCGACAGCGGGAGAGCAATATCTTGAGTGAGGTATGCAGCGAGGTCTGGTGGTTGCGGCAGAACCAAATCCGGTTTAGCGCGTCTTGAGGCTCCCTACGTTTGGAACCGCTCATCCGACAACCCGCGATCTCAGAGGCACATCCTCACTACTTCGTCTTCATCGATTGTACGGTTCACTCGCCTGTACTTAGGTACGTAAAAGTGCTGGGTGGTGTTCATATTTTCATTGTCATTCAGAAGCGGTACCGGATATTGACGCATATTCAAATTCAGACAAGATGAGCTACATCGCCCGCCGAGGTCTCTCGACCTTGATTCCCCCCAAGGTAAGGAAGAATAGCAAATACCCAGAGATTTCATTTGTTGGATCCCAGTGAAGACATGCTAACAGTTCCTAGATTGCTTCTCCCAATGTGAGTCACCTTATGGCGTTCCCTCGATACTCTTTACGCTCTGCAGTACCCTCCATCTCCAGTAAAGGCTTTTCACCACGACCTTGAGCATCGATCGCAAAACACACACGGCCTCTCCCTATCATGCAATGACTGACATTTTACAAAGGCCATCGGTGCCGCTAAGGATGCCGCTCGCATGGAGCGCGTTGTGAACTTCTACGCCAGACTCCCTCGCGGTTCCGCTCCCGAGGCTAAGCCCACTGGCCTCATTGGGCGCTACCAGGCTCGTTACTGGGGCAAGAACCCTTCTGCTGCCCGTGAGTAGTTCCAGACGACTTGACTTGGTACCTTGCAATTGCTGATCTTAATCGCTGCAGCTCTTGCTCACGCCATTGGTGGTATCCTTCTCATCGGCTACAGCATGGAGTACTACTTCCATCTTCGTACGTTTCCTTTTTGACCATGGAGGCATTTCGCGTTGCTAACAGTTACAGGCCACCACAAGAACCACCCTCACTAAATGCTTCGCTTTTGTGTGGCTTGCGGAGGATCTGTGTATATACCAGCAAACCTAGATGGAAGCAATGTAGAAGAGGCATACCTCCAACCCAGTTGCTCTGGCCTTAATACCGGCTTTTTCTCTTCCAATTACAGCTGGATATGTGTCACTGTAGTGGTCAGTTGCGTAGTATATGGGGTGTGGATGTGCGATTTGCCGTCTGTCGCGATCCCAACACCACCCTCTGCTTCTCCAATGATGTTATGCGAAATTTTAAGGACTGAAAGACCAAATATTCAAGATCATTTTCAATTTTAGATATCTTAGCGACAGTGAATAATCCGCTTGCCAGTGACACATCTCATCCTTCCGGCTCCAGCCACAAGATTTTGACTCTACTTCATTTTCCGTCCCACGCTAACCCAAAACAGCCACCTCACCTCCAACATGAGCCGTCACCCATGACTGCAGCCCTCACTCGATCATCAAACCTGAGAAAGACAACTCTTATTGCGACCTCCCATTTGGGATTTCTTGGGCAGTGGCGTTTAGTATTATATCGCATCCATTTCGCCTGCCTGTTCCTTACGAGCTTTATTTCCAGCCTTTGGATTTGTGCACTTCCCACCGCGCACTTAGTCTCGTCGTTTGGAGCTTTTCCCCCCAAGCTCGAACAATTCAGCTAGCAGTCTAAACGTGGCGATTCTTGATACCTGGTAATAGGTATTTCTCCTAACGTTTCCTCCGTGCCTTCTTATGAGTTACATGGATTCTGCCGCGACTATCCCAGCATTCACAGTTGCAAGACCAGTGTCTAACAGATGTCGCAACCTGCGGATCTCACAGACTCGGGAATTGTTATGGCAGAGCAGAGCAGCCACGATGTGGTAAATCAGACCCTGTCGGGCGGCGAGCCTTCGCCTTCCGACGTTCCTGCGAGCACCAAAGACAAGATATCTGCTGGAGGGGACGTGGGGGAGACTCAACATACCACCGCAACAACACAGACGACGACGGAAACGAACGATCCACAAAACCAACCAGAGCCCAGTGCTTCCGACTCATCACTCACGAAGAATGAGACAGAAAACGATTCTGAACGACCATCGACAGTGAGTCTCTACACGAACGAATATGAAAGTGAATGCGCTACTGAATGCGTTATAGGAAAAGGATACCTCAAAGCAGGGGCCCGGGCCAGTCGCTTCGCGAGCACTCGAAATGAACGGAGTAGCCTCGGTGTCGGATGCAGGAGAGGATACGGCTTCTCAGGGTGGCTCGGAGTCGGATGCCAGTCGAACAGACGGTAAGCGTGCAGGCTCGAAGAAGCCAACAACGTTCAAACCGGTTTCTTTCGCCAAATTTTCCGTGCCAAAAGCTCCGGGAGCGCTTACTACAGCTAAGCCGTCTGATAAAGGTACAGACAACCTCATCTTCGTTCGATTAATTTGTCTACTAACTTGACATAGCCCCCTCGTCTTTGACTACGCCGTTGGGCGGGCCATTACAGAGCTCTCGCCCGCGCTTGGTGGCCAAGACGACCAGCAGCCTTCGTGACTCGCTCTCAAAGTCGGGAACAGGTGCAGGCAAGGCAGGTGGGGGTGGACCTGATCCAAATCAGGTCTGGAACAAGAACAGACGTAAGGCACTGCTTGTCCTTTCTCTCTAGAACAAACCCCTCTAACATCCGAGTTCTAAAGCCGTGCAACCTACGCCACCAAAGCATTTGACAGATGAAGAACTGAAGCAGCAATACGGAATTCACATGACTTCTCGCATACAAGAAGATGGTGGTGGGACCGAGGCGAAATGGGCCGATATCGATGACGACGAAGATGACTGGGCTCCTGAGACGATCGAATGGACTGACGGCACCAAGACGAGCCTTACTACTCATGCGGAGGCAGTACACACTTCCGGCCAAGATACTAAGACGGCGAACGAAGCGAAGGTCGATGTTCCTGCACCAGAGCAAGTCCCTGCCGTTAAAGAAGTGCCCAAAATCGTCACGAAGTCTACAACAACTATCGGACCCAATCCTACCGTTCTCAGGCTTGGCGCAAATGCGGAAAGGCAGGCGAAGGGCGCAACCATCTTGTCGAAAGGACCACATGACAAGGCGTCGTTGGCGTCCACAAGTCCAGCACCTCCATCTAAATCACCTTGGGCCCCACTGCCGCCAATGGAAAAGGTATCACCGGTTATGCCGCCTGTTCAAATTCAACCTCCCGGACGTGTTCCTGTCAAAGAACACCAAGTTACCGAACCTTCCACCGGAATTGTCCACCCAAAGGAGATTGCGGCGGATGACTTCAATCGGTCGTGGAAAGACACACACGCTGGAACAACTCGTGAATTGTACAACTCTAGATCGGGTCGCTATGAGCCTGTACCAGAGGTTAGGAAAGCACCGTGGCGAGCTGAGCAGCAAGGCTTCCGCCCTTCTTCACTATTACAGCGGCCGACACCAGGTGAGCAGGCAGGACCTGCGGAGCCTTCTCCAGCATTTCAAACTCATCGGACAAGTGGCCAAGATGCCGGGCATTGGACGCGTCGGCGAACTTCATCCAACGTCAGCGGAGGAAGTGGAGGCTTTGGACGTCGGATGTCGATCGGTCGCCCTGATGGGCCGCAGAGAACGTTTGAAGCAAGAAGGGGCTCGCAGGTCAATGGAATCATAGACCCGTCCCTTGCGAACAAAGAGTCGGTGCATCTGAAGGATGCATTTATTCACGAGGCTTCCTCTGCCCGCCATCCTCCAGGTCCAACATGGCCTCCACGAGCAGCTGCGGGTGCGCCTGACGCGTCTCAGCCATCAGTGCCCTCAGCTCCAGAAGCTCAGGATGCTACAGCGCAAGCKGCGAAGGAAGATCCCGTCGCGATGCAGGAACGTATTATGAAGGAAAAGCGACTTGAAGCTCGGCAGCGCAGGCTAGAGCAAGAAGAGAAAGAGGAAGCTGCAAAACGTGAAAGAATTCGACAGAAGTTGGAGGCCCTGGGTCCACCGCCCGAGAAACCAAAATCCAAACCCAGGGACTCTCTGGAAGGTGATAAAGCTGAAGCCAAGGCGTCCCTCACGCAAGCAGCACAATCCCCTCCTAAACCCCCGGTACCGGAACCAACTGGTGAACCGAAGCAATACGGGATGATGAAAGTCCATCATCCCGACACCGTCAAAAAGCTCGTCGCCGCGAATGAAAAAGAGAGAGCTGCTGAGCGGTCGGCTCCCACGGTCAATGCTCGGCGTCCTACTTCGCCCGCTCGCGATCTTAAACTCGAGGCTACTACAGGACCTCAGGAGCCTAGCGATTTCCGGCAGTCCCGTCTTTCTGAGAAATTGCCCGAATCAACAATTGAAGAGTCGAGTTCCCAATGGAAGAGTAATCTTGGGGCTTCGAGCTCATATTCCCCTTGGTCTTCGAATACTAAACTAGGAGCTGCCTCTTCTGCTATTGCGAATCCTTGGAAGCCTCTCAGCAACGATAAGACCCTGGGTAATGGCATATTTGATCAAACCCTCGGGGGCTTTCCATCGAGAGACATCTCCCTTCGTGGTCCTCTCGGCCTCGACCAACCTCCAATCTCTTCTGGCCCACAACCGTTTTCTGCCCCCTCTCGACCCCAACAGGAGCCTACGTCAATCTCTCCGTTGCCTTCTACCGATGTTCGACATGCGCAGTACGACTCTATGACCACGGTTGTCCGACCAGGGCCAATCGGGCCTCCAAGTGTACACCAGCCTCATTGGCAACAGGAATCACGTGTCACCGGTACTACCGGTTGGAATAATTTCCACGCAGTTGCTGCTAAACGTGAAGCGGAAGAGAATGAGAAGCTCCTAAATGAGATGAACACAATGCGTGATAGCCAGCCTTTGCATGTCACATTCAATGAAACATGGCGACAGGTTCGTACTGGCGACCAGAGTGGACAGAGGCAGGTTGTTGGCATTCATAGATCAACCGACACGTCAAGTTCGATCTCCAACCATCTGCCTGGTTTCGATCATCCTGTCGCGACTCTACCCTTCGCTGAGCCTCATGCTCGTCCACTGAGTAGTGTGCCAGTTCGCAGTTCTCGATTCTTCCCTCAGGCCACGGAGCAATATAAACGGCCAGCCTTTGAGGAAGATGAGCATTTCCGAAGCCCGTCTCCACCACCGCCAGAGGAACTATCGAGTCATCCAGTATATATGAGTGATTCTACCCGACCTTTGGTCCACCTTCCCGCCCCTAAGCCGATTGTCAAACTTCCCCCAAAAATCGTTGCACCACCGCCACCTCCGACATTTGCTTCTATGGTTGCTGCTCCCCCTCGCGTCCCAGCTCAAGCTCAACCCGTCTCAACCGCAACCTCCTGGCAGGAGAAGATCAACTGTCTTTTCGGCAAGAAGACGGTACATGAGAAGAAGAATGCTTTGGCAGTCACGTCAGCATCGAAAGAACCTCTCGATGTCCAGCTGCATATTGCCGCAGTGTCTGTATCTCTCCCCCAATTTGCTGAGAATATGACTCAAGTTGGCGACGGAATAGCCAGCGCCAAGCAAGTCGAAGAGGCCGAGGAGATCTTTGAGGATCGCGAAGCAGGTTCTTTACCTGTTGTTCGAGTTCCCAATGCTGCACCTCCAGCAGCTTGGCATGCTGCTCCAGCACCCTCGCAATCCCGGTTACGGTTCAAGAGTCTCAAGCCGATGCAAATTCACAGCATCGAGCCTTATCTTCTGAGCCTCAGTGACAGGGATTCATCTGGCAATTTTCGGGTGTCCATCCGCTTCCCCGGCGCTATCGCTGCGAAAACCGTGACTCTTCCAAAGAAGGCAGGGAGTCATAATCCTCGACAGCGCGGGCCCTCCACCTTCAAACCACGAAAGAATACAAAAGCTCGGGAAGGACCTGGAAACTCTAATACCAAGAAGACAACCACTGCGCAGCAGAACGGCAGCAGCGGCTCTTCGCCCCGGCATCAACCGCGGAATACAGCGTGGGCAGCGCGCACAATTAGCGGATCTCACTAAGCTGGTCCAGCTTATTCATGTAGAGGAATGCGCCTCTAGTCTTCGAATTACGTCTGTTAGCTCTGCCGTGGCAATTCTCGGGTTTCGGATATTCATTCAGCGGTTTCTTTCGGTATCTGGTGAGCAACGTCATGTGGGATATCGAACGGGTCTGCGTTTGCCTTGAACTTCTAGTACTCTTCTCAATGTCCTTTGCATCGTACATTATCCCCATCTTCTCCCTCATCAGTACTCGATTCGAAGTAACTCTCTTTTTCTTTGAGAGACACAACAATCACACATAACATTCTCTTCCTCATACACCCGACATCACTTCAACCTCGATTCTCAGTCGATCAGTCGATCTTCGTGCTACTTAATATGTATCATTCTCCATGCAGCTGTTCTATCACTTATTCTTCTAAGTCTTCCTGGTAATTCAGAAAAGGCATAAGACAGCTCCACGTATTATTTTCAGTGCCTGAATCAATGCAAGATGAAACAACCCACCACCAGTGCTGTATTCTAAGTTCAGCTATGTAGCTTTGTGCTCAACTTATGCATCTGATTCCTTGACTCGATCAGCTGCATTTCCAGGGCTTATAAGCGATACTAATTTAATCAGGTCAGCTATATGCTGCCTCTGGACTTACTGAGAGTTCGCACTAGCTCTTTGCATCGTGTAAAGTATATCTACATCTGTTGACTAACCGAACGAGGATGGCAGCGGAGAGAACCAAAAGATCACTATACTCTAGATGCTTTGCGAATTGATATCTGACAGAATGTGGTATTCGGACATAAGCCCGTCATCTAGCAAGTTGGAAGAGATAATACACAAATCGCTTGAAGGGACCATCTTTTCTCCACGGGACCCGAACGCCAGCCCAATGTCACCCACCAGTAGTAGACCCAAACACCGTTGCTTGAAAGACACAGTACAAAGAAAAGATTTCTTGGAACAACTAGGCTCACCAGTTCCACGTCCGGCTTGAAGCGGTGAACACGGGAGGTTTCCACTGAAGGCGTGCTGGGTCGATCTTGCGAGCTCCCTTGAGCTTCTCTTTTTCAAGACGCTTCTTGTGCTGTTCGACTACGTAGTCGGTGAGAACGATGACCCAGTTTCCTTTCTATGAAGTAGTCAGTTAACTGTTTCAAGCTTCAAGTGGGATGGGGTGGGAGCACATACATAGTACCGGAGCATATTCAGGACTACCAGAGTCTCATGGACGTCTTTCTCCGTCATCGAAGTTAATAGAGCGAGCTCATTCTCGCTGACTGTTTCTCGTCCAGGTTCCATAAGTATTTCGACGAGCGTTTCTCGCCAGTATTGACGGTAACCCAGTAGACCAAGGTCACTGAGTGGCTTTTCAGGAGAGCCGAGCTTTCCCTCGCGCTTGCTGAGCTCATAGCTGAAGGAGATAAGCAGCCGACCAAACCCACGCCGTTGGTACTGAGGTAGTGTCAAGATACAAGCCAAATTGTAGCCCTCCGCGGAATCCTTCTCCTTGGAGAAGTAGCCCACAAGATGGCAGCCTGACTCATCTCTCGTGCACATACAGTAGAAGAGGAAAGGGTCGACATCGTAGTATAGGGTTTTGTGATCAAGGAAGAGTTTGCTCAGCAGACAAAGGTTACGGCACCAGGTCCGCTGACGGCGGCCATCAACTTCGAAAAAAGAGATGTAGTCATCGCGGTATATCTCGTTGCCGGGAGGATGGACAAGCGTGCACTTGGTACGGTGGCGCTCAAAGGCACGTTTGTCGTCGAAATAGCTCAGACAGAACTCATCGATATAGACGATATCAACGTCTGAGAAGGAAGCGGGATACGGCGAGAAGTACCAGGGTTCAATGTCGTATTTGCCCATTTGGAGTCGATTCAAATTACGCACGCGATGGATTTCCGTTGGGTTCTGTGTCATACTACCGCTCGTTCGCAGTCGTTCGATCTCTTCTTCGCGCGACATGAGTCCTAACGCTCTCTCCTCTTCTTTGATGCTTTTGCCGTCAGTGAAACTGACGTCAAGCATTTCGACATCGTCAGACTCGGCTTTAGGGGTGCCGTCCGTTGAGATGGCCTCTGCAGTGATGATGGGCATATTGAGAGGAGTCCCGTCACGATTCTCTTTGCCACCTGCCTTGGACGGGCGTTGCGCCTTGCCAACGTTCACATTCTTGCCCGTGAGTAGATCTGGAGTTGCAGAGACATCACGGCTGTCGGCTCTCGCACGCTTCTGCACATTTTTGCTCGGCGCTTTGTTGCCAGCACCAGTCTTCTTCTTCTCTGGTTTCTCTGGCTGAGGCCACTCAACTTCGTGAGATAGGTCTAGTCGAGAAGCGTCAACCCATTCTAGTTGGATTCGTCAGATTGTCCCCTTTCAGATGCACAAGGACAGAAGTGTACTCACCATCTAAACGTTTGTTGAAATCGACATAGTGAACACTGTACATATCATCAGCATGAAAAACTCCGACACGACAAGAAGAGCTCAGGGTTGAGAAACGCACTAGAAGCTAGGACCATCTTTACGCTGCCTAATCGACAGAATTTCTGCTTTTCTCAACTCGCCATCCTATATCAATCCAAATATCAGCGACCACATTCACTGCCGTTCAATGATGTCACGTGATGAATATCGAACGATGCTGGAAGCAATGGAGAAACAACTGACCTTCTGGACCATCGCCTTAACACCGATCCTATCGCGATGATTAGTTTATGCGACCGATAAAAGTCATGTAGAAGACTCTAATAATAATTTTTCTCGAGTATCCAGCAGCAAGTTGTCAACTTACCGGATGGTGGTGAGGGTGGCAAAGCCCTTCTCAACAGGGTCGGGCGTCCCAGTGGCCTCCCCATGAGAATCCCGAACTCCCATGGTGATTCAGACCCAAATCTCAATAGTTTAGAGATGTCTCTGTGACAGAAAACCTGGTTTGGACGAAGTGCACKATGAAATATCTGATTCTTTCGCAGGAGTTGATGGAGGTTTGGTTCTGTGAAGCAGCCTGGGAGACCGCCTTTGAACCAGCCTTTTCGCTGTCCGCTTTTGGCAACCTCACAAATTTGAGGGAGTAACTAGAGCGCACAATCTGTCCATCACTGAGTAGAATTCAGGATTTGCTTGAATTTGGGTCTGATACTGAGCATATGTGAAGGGAGAGGTCCCAAAAAATACTTCTTACTACCATGAATTATGAACTGTCTAATAGTAAGAAAATCAGAATAGTGAACTAGTTTACATCCTAGGTATCATCGTTTCCTATGCCTTCAGTGCCACCCATTGACAACTGCCTCTGTCCCGGCAACAAGCTCATCCAGCTCCTCCTTTCTAATCCTGTACGTTTCTTGAGCTTCCCGTTCTCTCTTCAGAATGAAGGCAACGTCGTCACGGAGCTTCTCGAGCCTTCGCGAGATAGCCGATTCCTCGGAAATTTGTAGGGTCTGGAAAGCATTCAACTCATCCTTCGAGTTTTCTAGAGCAGAGCTGGCCTCGACAATCTTGGTTCGAAGGGTCTTCGCGCGGTTTTGATAGCCACCGTAGTGTAGCGCTAGCTTCTTCTCAAGCTTGTTTCCTCGTTCTGCGGTAGCCAGCAGGGAAGCCTGTACATTGTCGAAAGCGTCAATCATTCGCTGCTCTTGTCGGTACACATCCTCCTCTTCATCGTCGTCGGCATAGTTGGCGAGCCCTGGGAGGCTGTTGGAGTGCGCCGACGACCAACGATCATCAAAGCCTTGCAGCCATTCCTGTTGCCGATCAGACGAAGCAACTTCCGCTGCGATGGCTGCACGCGCTGATTCGATGAGTTCATCGCCAAGTCGCTCCAGTTTCCGTGCCTTGCCTTCAACCTTGCCATTGGGAAGGCGGAATTTTTGAGCGTCATTGGCAATCAACAGAGCTGCTTCCTTAGCAATCATGCCATTGATGGGATCGGTAACGTGTGAGGCACGCGCCATCAGAGCATCTATATCGAGAACACTTGGGCGTGGCAGTCCCCGCTGGTAGACTTGGGTCTGGCGTTTCAACTCAGCTTGCGCAGCTCTCTCCCGTGCCTCCCTCTCTCTCCGATCACGCTCCGCAGCATCCTCTTCAGAGATCTCCTCCGCAGCAGTTGGCTCTGCGGTCTCCGAGGGAAGTTCCTCGAGTTCCCATTCGGTTTCTTTAGGCTTCGGGAGCGCCGCCAATTTGCTACGAATGCCTTGACTGACAGCTTTCTGGTGCAATCTGATATCTCTCGGTGTGCTGCCAATCAACTGTCCGCCTTCCATCTGATTGAGCGCGAACTGATCTCTAGGGGTTCTGAGGGGTGTTGCCCCTGGCCCAATTCCACCATGCAATGGAGTCGCCCCCAACCCATTGGCTTGTCGGAAAGGAGTCGCCATTGGATTCGGCGTAACGATCTGTTGTCGCCGAGGGGCGATGCCATCAAAACCAGTAGAAGAACCTCCTTCGTGCAGAGGCGTATTCTCACCACCCAACAAAGATGATTGCGTTTCGGTAAGGGCTCTGATATTTCGGATCTCATTGGCAATATGATCCTCCTCTGGCGGAGCTCGTGGTGTCCTAATTGGCGTCCCTCCGACGATAGAAGTGTAGTTACCGATCAAACCTCGAGTTGTTTCTTCGTCCCCAGACATCTTACTGGCCCTGTCTCCGGCCATGCCCATTTTGATAATGTCCTCCATTTCGCTTTCGCTCACTTGAGGAGTTGGCAGGACAAGCGCTCGTCTCTTACTGCTCTGCTCAGCCTCGCGAATCTTCTGCATTTGGCCGGCCCTTGCGGCAGCAGCGAAAGCGGAGCTACCATTCTTGTCGTTCTTTCTCTTCTTCCTATCCGCGTCTTCTTCCTGATCCCCTTTTCGCTTGTTCGCAAGTTGTTGTTTTCGAGGATCAAACATTTCTCGCTGTCTTTCGTTTCGAGCTTCCTCTTCCATGGTATCGTAAAATCCAGGTGCGGCTGGCTTCTCAAATGGGATGTCCGCGTTATAGTCCATTTCCCCTTTCTTCCGGGTAACGA